TGTATTGATGTGAAGAAATACTAAAACAGCTGAATGATACTGTGAGAAATACATTGGAGATGCACTAGAATTGATTGACTCTATTGCAGCTAGTCTCTTCAATTGTTCACCACAGCCTCTGAATACTAACCTGGTTAAAGTCAGGCTGTGTATATTAGTGAAAGCAAACCCACTGTTTGGTGGTGTACTGGAATCATTGCACTGTATAAGAGCTGGCTTTGATGATTCACTGGTTAGTGTCAGTGAGTGGGTATCATTAATGACACCACAAAATGATACATTATTGCTAATGCGGTGAGTGATGCTATCAGATAACACCAGCACAATATCATCATCCAGTGAATGAGTCTCATTACACAAGAACTCCTCCAACTCATATTCACTAGTTATATTAATAATCTCTTTACCACTGGAAACTGACAAAAGAGCAAAAGAGAGAGCAAGAATAGTAAAATACATTTTTGACTAGATCTTCTGTAACAATGATTATACTTGTCTTGGTGATGTTTTTATAAAGGCTCACTGTTTATTATAGGGAAAACTGTGTTGACATTGGGAAGAATTGTTTTCAGTTAAAGTATGTAGCTGTCATAATAAACCTGTTTCAATTAGAATATGTGTGCATAAAAGTTATTGAAACTCAGAAACTATATTCTTTATTGATACTAATCAGGAAATTAATGTTATAGATCTGTTTAGATCTATGAGTTCAATACTATAGATCTATATGGCAGATCAATGTCATTTAAATAATAGAATATCAGTTCTGATGTGTTGAAGATTATAAATGAAAGTGAAGGAAAACTTGTTTGACTAATGATCACCTGTGCCTGCAATTATCTGTTAGCATAATGAAATTTTTGTTTACAAAGTTTTGCTCCAAACTGAAAGCATTAAAAGTAGTTGTTATGATCACAAAACTTGTTAGTGAACCAATATGAAACCAACTTGAAAAAACATAGCACTTATAGCATAAACAAAAAACATAGTGCACTTGCATGCCAACTTTCAAGATCAACAGCATCTACTCCCAATTTCTAGTGGGAATGTTTGGCTTGCTACATGCATGTATATCACACTTAACTTAGATAAACATCATTAGTTTAGTGTGATCGGGTCTAAACTATATTGCAAGTATGCAGGTATTGCCCAGAAATTGGTAACAATAACCAGTGAGTGCAATTGATCTAATTGTTTGTTGGCTTAAAACATCAACTTATTATCAATGTTGTGTACAAATTAAAAAGTATAAGCTATAACTATGACTATAGTTACAATTAAAGTAAACATTATTAATTATGAGTTGAGAAGTGGTTCTCTTTCATTGCAAGACTGATAAAAGGAATCACATTCACTTAAATTCCTTTGATGAGCAAGTGGATGATTGAACTTAAACTTAATATTGACAAAAAACTCATTTATTCTGTTGAAGAGTTTCTTTCCAAATGAAAATTGACTCATAAAAACACAAATCAAGATTAAAATGATGATCAGATGACAGAATGTAGCTAGAATTGCCCATTCAATGGCATGGGACATAACAATAGACCAAAAAGAACAACTGAGAA